AAACATCTGCATACCTGAACGTTGTTGCATCTAAATCAGCCTCAATTTTCATTGCTATTAAAGGAATAGTAGAAAAAGTGGTTTGAGTTAAGATAATCGGTTGTAAACAAACTTAAATTCATAAGAAAAGGAATAATTAATTTTTATCTTGAGCAGGAACTGAGTATGGAGAAAAAAATTTCTACAAAGCATAGATTTTTTTTTTGCCTACAAGATTACTTAAAACATCTCTTCAGTAACGCAGATGAGCACAGTAATGTTATGGAGCTGTAACCATGGAAAAATAAACAGGATATTAAGAAAACTGTGGAATTATGTCCATGATAACTTAAGATAAATATTATAGTTTTGCTTCCATATTTAGTGAGAACATCAGATCTGTTTGCTTATGGCTTTTAGTACATAAGACTCCATGTAACTTAACAATATCTTTTGACTCATTTTTCCAGCTCGAGATGCTGATGAGAGGGAGAAGTGGATTCACGCTTTAGAAGACACCATTCTCCGCCATACCCTCCAGCTGCAGGCAAGTTTCACTTTCGCTCTTACTTTTTTTACTTCTCAGAACAAAAGTACAGTGGTACGACTGCTAATATCAACCAGATCTTGCACATCTGCTTGTTCTATGGCCTGTGCAATCAGACACAGTAAGATATCAGTATGAGTACCAGAGATTAGCTTCTAATCTTCCTGTTACTGTTTTCTTGTCTTACCATTGTGAAAAGTCAGCATGAAACTTCTCTTCATTAGTTGGTATTTTAATTGGTTCCAGACTGATAGTCACACACTTAGTTCTTTTTGTTTGTTTTTTTTTAAACTGAGAGTTGGTCCTTTCTGAGTTAAGCAGAATGAGACGTCTGGAAGACTGATGTATGTTTGTGTGCCATCTCATTTTGAAATTAGAGCAGTAACATTGAACCTCTGTATGAATAACAAGAATGGCACTTTGAATCCACTGTACTAGCTGGATGTTGGTAAGTCTCTGTTTTTGAGAATGGATGGTGAGCAGAGGGTGGTTTCTCTGCACTGTCCTACACCAGAGCACGTCTGTGAGCCTCAGTAATCCCTCAGAAACCCAGAGGTCAGGGAGGGATTTTCTCATACCTGGTTTGTCTGATGACAGTGTAGAAATACAAAGGAGGTATTTGCTGTTTGTACTGAATAAAGGTTTAGAATGTTTTGAGTACAGTGGGAGAATTGTCTTAAAGGCTGTCATTGTATAAACATAATAAAATCCTTAATGTCACATGAAAGGGAAGGAGCTTATAAAGACTGATTTATGTGACATTTACTCAAATTGAAGAATTAGAGCAAGCCTGAATTGATCCCACTTGTGTTTTCTCAGTCAGTTTACTTTAATTTCCTGCTAAAAAGTGGTTGGCAACGTTTTGGTTTTTTTTTTTTTTGCCTAAAGAATCTTTTCATATTCTTTAACAGACCACAAACAACTAAATTATTACTTTACCTAGTAATAATTGGAGGGAGTAAATAAAATCTGTGACTAGTAAGAAACGTCTTCAGCCTCTGAAATAAATTCAGCACTGAGAGTAGGACGTCACGGGCCACAGTACTGCGTTCGCCGCTCGTTTTCAAGAACCTTTTCCGACATGCCGGCTATAGAAGCCGACACGGGACGAATCCCCGCTGCAGCCCCGCCCGCGCCGCGACACCCGCCATTCCCCGCGGGGCGGGGCGGCTCCCGGCGGGCGGGCAGCCAACCCGCGGCCGCTGTTCCCGTCATGCGGACGGCGGGGCCGGGGCCGCGCCACGCGGAGTTGTTTTCCCGCCCCTCCGGAGGCGGCGCTGTCGGGCCGGGCGCCGCGCCAGCCCCGCCGCTCCGCGCCGCTCGTGTGACCGCTGTGCGCCGAGGGATGGCCGGTGTGAGTACGGGCGGGGAGCGGGGCCGTGCGGAGAGGATGCCGGGGGCCGCCGGGGCCGCCGGGGCCGTAGTCCTTCCTCACTGGAAGCCGACTCCGCCCCGAGGGCAGCGCCCGTGTTCTCCGGTCGTGTCCGGGTTCTCCACCCTAACGCCGGTGGGCTTCCCCGATTCTTTTACTTTCTCTTATTCGGACGATAAAGACAAATGAATTGTTCGAGGAGGGGTTGGCTCCACAGTTATGGGGCTCAGAGTGCCGTTACAGAGAGGGTTTTCTGTAAAGGTGTTTTCTTAGGTGGCACGGGCGGAAAAGTGGATCTCTCCACTGTGCACGTAGTTACAAGAAGTCCATCTATTTTTGCCCCCAGTTATATACCTCTCTTCATTCCTTCATCAAATTTTCATGCAGCTTCCAGTACCTTGTGAAGAACACTGCTTGGTCTGGAGCGTTCAAGTACAGAAAGCGAGTCTTTAACTCTGGTTCAGTTCATTTTTAGCATGAAGCAGATGCCTGCTAGGCATGGGGCAGTTTGCTGAGAGGAGGCAGCCTGTGTGCGAAGCTGGTCGGCGAAGCGCAGGGAAGTGGTGTGAGGTGCAGAGCTGCAGCGCTGCCTGGGTGCTCCTCGCTCTGGTGTAAGCTTGCAGGCTTCATTTGGCCTCGGTGTCCTGTGTTGTTCTTCAGGCTTTAGAATGGTTTCGAAATACTTGAAAAAACTTGTGAGAATGAGCAAAGGTCAAGGAACTGGGAAGAACTGAGTCATAAATACATAGAAATGAACACAGTGACGTTTGCTATCCAGAGGGATGACAGTAATATGGTACCAAATGGAACAAAAATGGGAAGGAATCATTTCATATACACTTGTAATTTCTTTTTGTCTCAATTTTGAAGCTGAAATCTGTTGTTTTCCTTGCTTTCTTTGTATGTTCTTATATTAAAAGTAAGTTACTCTTAGTTTTTGGAGTACAGCCTTTGTCTATTGAAAAGACCACAGCAGATGGTGTGATAGTGTTGGAATCCCCCTGTGCTTTTCCCATACCGCTCGCAGATCCTGCACTGACCATCACCCCGTCACGGCTGTGCAGTGGCAGCACATCGGTTGCTTCACACCCACAAGCGATCAGGGGAAGAGTGCATCTGAGGTGAAGACAGGTTGTGGCTTGGTTTCCTTCTTTGTCTGGGCAGAGATAGGGGGATGATAACTTGTTTCAGATTTTTGTTCCTCACCAGAATTGATAACAACCACTGGTTCCATTCAAGAAGGAAGTGCTTCAGGTCTTTTTGTTCAGTACAAAGGTCCTGCTCTTCAGTCTTCCAAGTGGCAATGTAGTGCTGCAGGTGCTTCTTGGTTCTAGAGTTCTCCTATATTAAAACTACTTGAAGATAGCTCATGAGTCTCGGTACCATGATAACATGGTTCGTTCTTTTTTGATTTGAAAAGTGCAAGGACACTGTTAAAATATCTATCTACTGTGAAGAAACAAAAACAACAACAACAAAAACACCAGGAGCTGTGTTTAAAAGTCCAGGAAGAGAATTTAAGAAAAGAAGTGAATAAATTTAAGCATTATAAAAGGCTGATTGTGTCTGCATTTATTCTGGTAGTGCTTTGGTAGTGTTAGGATGCTGTCCTTAGTGCCCACCCTGAGCTGGAGGGATGGGCCTTTTTTTTTTTTTTTCTTCTCCCATTAGCTCAAACCTTCCTTAAGGTTAGCTCACTCTTGCCTTAAAACACACACCTTGAGAGGTACTTTTCCCCTTTGCCATTGTAGTGCTGCTAAAGCATCTGGTAAATGTCTGACTGTTCATGTAAAAGCCAGATAACAATAGAAATAATCCACATTTAGAGAGTACCAAAATACTTGTAAGCTAGGAAGGCCTTCATACCCAAATTTAGGAAAATCCTTGAGGTAAAGCCCCAGGCTGTTCCAGCTTCTACTGATTTGCCAGTGAACACTGGAGTGACAAAGGAACTGTAGTGACTGGGTAAACTACAGAGAATGGAACTTTAAAAGTTCTCCTGATTGCTTGATACCTCCATAATTACACCAAGATATTTACCTCATAAGTAGCAAATAGGGTAAGAAAAGTATGTTCTAAGAAGTGGATCTGTGAGGGTTGATGAGAAGGGTGATAACAGTGGCTTAAATATTAGGAGCTATGCCATGGCTTCACCAGTATTTGCCGGTGCTGCTGCTGGAAGGAGTCCTGTCTTGCTTGCTCAAGCAAAAGGGAAGAGAGAGCACAGTGAGAAGAGCTGCACTGGGAGCTGCAGTCAAAACTGACCAAAATTCAAATTACTTTCCTGCAACCCTCTGTTTTCTAGCTTAGTTTCAACTCGGATCAGTTTGCATATTGTGTTGACTATGTGGGAAGGCAAATGTTTGTGCTGACTCAAAAGAAAGAGCAGAGAAAGGGTGGGAATAAACAACAGGAGAACCGAGTTGTTGCTGATAAAGTGTTTGGGAAAATGTGTTGCTAGTAGCAGTTCCCTTAGCCTCCTGTTATCCAAGATGTTTGCAGCCTTAAAAAGTTCATAAATAAACAAGAATAGTAGATAGAATAAAACTTTCTTATTGAGACAGGTATATTCTGAGCTTTTAATAGAGCTTGAAAATCTAGCAGAGGAAAAAAAAAGTGGATGCCACAACTGCAAGAAAAAGACCAGAAGATACCATTGCTTAGTGGCTCACTACTTATTGTGTCCTTTTTCCAGTTTTCTATCAGTAGTTGTTGCAGGCAATGTCCTTCACAAAGTCAAACACTGTAGGCAGGGCATGTGTTTCTGATGAGGTGCTGTAGTGAACTCAGAACACTTAGTCCTCTAAACTGACTCACAAAATTGTTTGCTAGACTTGGAAGCCTAATTAGATAAAGGTTATAGCAAAAGTTTTTAGAAAGAAAAGATGCATCCTGCTCTGGACAGCTTTCTCTTTTCCTCCCCCAGGAAAGCTGTTGTACAAGAACAACCCTCATCAAGTCTTCATCTTCACTGTTTGCTCTATCTTTTCCCTTGCTTCTCTGCTTTCATGCAGCTCATTTTCTACAGAGGCTCCTATTTGAGAAATACATTAGGTTTTTTCTGTTAGGCTTCTTCTGAGAGTTATGAAATTTTTTCATCCCATCCTATTTGAAAGAACTGGTTGAAATTAGGCTGGAATTACTTCTTGGCATGGACAAGTTTTGAATAGAAATACATGAGTGGTGTGCACAACTTCTGAAGGACAGGGGAACAACGTATCAAATTCTTTAGTGCTAGCAGTGTTGTAAGGAAAATGAGGTTTATGCTATGTATATTTTAATTGTTTTATATTTTGCTCTTGCCCTCAGATTTATCCCCTCCAAAGAGGATGGATACCTTTGAAAGGACTGCATTCTGCAGGACTCCTAGCATGGGATTTCCTTACTCAATCTCAGTTTGGTGTGCAGACTCTTTCCTAGGATGGCTGTCCTGTCTGCTCACCCCTTTCTGGGCATCTTGCAGCTCACATCTGAGAGCCCCCCTTGGCAGGGTCAGCGTTGCTGAACTGCCACAGATGTGAGCATTGGCACATGCCCTGTACAGCCTAGTCTTTAAAGTTTTGGTATGTCCAGAAGAGGAAATCTCAGAAAATGGAGAAGAGATGGGAAAATAAGAAAAAATGCTATTTTATTTTTTTTCTAAAACCTGTTTATTAAATGTGGGATTTCCTGTGGGAGGAGTGAAATACCAAATGTATTGTTATGGGAGGTGGCAGGCAGGCAGACTAGAAGTTTTATTAACTACTCGCTTCTGCAGCCATTTGATCTGGTAACATAACTGTCAGAGTAGCCTTTATTTGAGGGAAATGAAGTATACTTATGGCTAACTCTAGTTATTCAGTGGAAATAAAAGCCTTTGGATCGGTCCTGATATTAGGAATCTATATTTTTGAAGAGCTGAACAGCCTGAGTTCCTATTCTTCTCTGTGATTTGAAGATACTTATAGCATAACTTCAGTTGGAAGAGAGCCTGGTCCAAGCCCCTTCTCCTGCAGGACCAGCTCCTAGGCTAGATAAACTTGGCCAGAGTCAAACCTGGAGTTCTGAACTCTGCCCTCAAGAGGGCGGGGGTTCTGCTGTCTCTGCAAGCAGCTCTTTTGTCAGTTTATGAGTAGGTGAGCACTATATAATACAAGTTTCTCATAAAAAAAAAAAAAAAAAAGTGATTGCTACTTCAGATATGCAGTTTCCCAATTTAATGAGCAGTTAAATGCCATTCAGGTGAGTGTGCTCACCCATTTCTTTTGAAGCCTGATTTCCTACATGGCAGGGGAAGGAAAAGAGGGGAGGTGGGGTGACCACGTAGCAAAGAAATAAGGATGTCATTTATGCCTGCTCTTTGTATGCCTGCTATCTCCAAATCACTGGTGAGTTACAAGTACTGATTAATTTTTTTTTGCTGTTTATGCAAGGCATTTTTCCATACTGTTGTTAATCTTGATATTTTTGTAACTTGTCTCCTGGTTTCTGATTTTAAACCACGTGAGGACTTAAAATTATGAACCTAATCTCCTATAACATAGGCTAGTAAATTTGCTCAGTAGGTTATCAGATTTCATCTAAACAGCCTTTATACAGATCAAGAGGAAGCTTGTACATGAAATTGCATTTCACTATCCTGTGCTATTTTTTCAATTACTTTTACATTTCACTTCAATGCAGGGTCAGCTTGGCACTCACTGCACTTGGCTTTTATGATTTTCTTTGTGTTGACTGAAGTTTGAAGTTTTAACTGTCTAACAGTAGGTTACAGTTTTCACTTGATATTTGATGTCCGTTCAGCTGAAGCACTTCATGTTTAGTTGGGTTTTCCTTTAGTGTTAGGAGGAAGAAATTTAGGAATGACATTTTCCCTTTAAGCCATTGCTATAAATACTAGATTGTTGCATGTTAATAATCTTAAACTGATAAATAAAACCCTTCATTTTAATGCGGCATACAGATAATTTGCACTGTAAACTGTATTACTGCATATCTTCAGCAGAAATTTTTCTTTACAGTTGATGCAATTTTGATATGAAACCTTATCCCCATAATTTTTTAGCTGAGCATGGTAGACTGCTGAAATGATGGCGCTGGTTGCTTCCTCCCTTCTTCAACAAGGAAATGGAATAGCAGTTTCATCTAATTTTAGCCTTAGTTTCTGTATGTTTTAACTTCTCTAGTTAGAGGGAGTGTCAAAAATTTTTTGTTGGGTGGACTTTCCCATTAGTGGGTTTTGTGAACCTGTTACACTGGGTGTTTTTGTTTTGAATTGAAAAATTGAATTGAGAAATACATGCTTTGAATTTTACATTATGAAGGAAGATAAATTTGCAAGCAGTCATTTTCATTGCAATGTTTTGTCCATGTTGGAGTTTATGCAATGAAATGTAACAAATCAAAAGTAGGAAAAGGATGCAAATTACTGTAGCTGTAAAGAACTAGGGAGACAGGAGGAAGAAGTGCAAATTTTTGCAGTATGAAGGTGAGCCTGTGTATAAGAATTGCTTTAGCATTCATTTGTTCAGTCCTTTACTGGGAAGCACTGAGTTCAGCTGCACTGTAATTGGCAAAAGTGGTTTCAGGTGTGAAAAGTGCAATCATGCACTTGAGTCTGGTTTTGTCCTCCTTAACTGAAATGTGAGAACATGGAATCACAAGGCATTCTTCAGGGGAAAAAAACTGAATTCTCCTTCATACTTTCTGAAGGAGCTTTAATTAGTGTTATTTAAGGATTATTTTTTTTTGCAATTAAATGTAATGAAATGCTGTGCCATGTTACCATTATACCCACACTGAAAATGTGCAGCAATTTGCTGTTACTGATATAGCTGCAAATAGAAGATGAATGTGTTCAGCTGTGTGCCTGTGTTTATACAGTGCATGCAAGGCAACATTTAGCAGCCAGTTGGCAGTCAAAACCATATTGCTGTTAATTTTTTTCCCCATAAAAACCATCTAATTACATTTTCAATTTTTTTTTTTTTTTTCCTTCTGTCTAGGGTGTGGATTCAGGGTTTGTTCCCAGTGTTCATGATTTTGATAAGAAACTTACTGAGGCTGATGCTTACTTACAGATCTTGATAGACCAACTGAAGGTAGGTTAACAAACTGGTGTATTTATTGCACTGTGGGGGTTTCAAAGTCTGTCTGAAAGGAAGCTCAGCAGAGGGAATGACGTTTTATGCTTTGCGTGTTCTAATAATTGTGGGAAGCAAAGAGTTCATCTGGCTGAGCTGAAATGTGTGTGCTGGAGAAAGCAGTCCCTTTCCTGTATGTGAAGCCTGCTGATATTAGAATTGTATTTCTTGCTCTTGTAGGAAATAACTTTTTTTTTTCCCAGGACTAAGAAAATTAAAAGTTATAATAGGCTAAAAGCTGAAGAAGCTCAGTGACATTCTCTGTTTCTCCTAGAGTAGATCTTGAGATTGTTAAAGCCAGAAAATCAGAGTAACTTCAACTTATAAGGAAGATTTGGAATGCTGTAACATCTTTTTGTATGCCTGACTTCTTGGAAATGTCAGAGATTAGTTAAGTTTAATTTCAAAACAAATCATTGTCTTACTTGTGGCATTTTAGAGTTTTATCAAGTAATACACAACAATGCAACTACAGTTGCAGCTGAGTTTCAAACTTTGTTGCAGTAGTGATAATCTGTTTTTTGTTTTGTCCTTGAGTGAAAACATTGTGTCAAAAGTTGTGGACCAATACAGGTTTTTTCTGCTTAGTTTATGTATTTTAGGAGTTGGGGGGGAAGATGAGGAGCGATATGATCACGTCTCTCAGTACTCACCTTGTTGAGAAAAAGTATTTGCTGTTGGTTAGGACTCCCTTTCCCATGACTCAGCAGGTTAAAATTGCTCATAAGATTGCTTCAGTTCTGCTGGTTTGGACTTTTTTCCCCTGATATAATGGACAAGTACTGTACATGGAGTATTCAGCAAAAATTCAGTTGCAGGACAGGGAGGATATGGGGGAGAGTGCAGCGACAGGAATGGAAATGGGAAAAGAGATGCAAGCAAAATCTGAAGCTAATCTGCAGAGGTTTCATTCAGGAGTTAGCTTTAATTTGTGTTCCAAGGCCATCTTGCAGGAGAATATGGGAGGAGCATGTCTCACTGAAAGAAGGTATTTAAACCTAACTCCTTTTAATTACTTTTTCACGCCAGCAGAGAGGAGGAAATGTAGGAATTAATTAGGAAATAAAAGCAAATTTAAGGATGTCCAGAGATCACAACTAAAGTCTGCTTTAGAAGCAGAAATGAGCCCTCAAGGGAAAGGGGATCACGTAAGTAACTACTTCTTAGGCAACTGAGAGAAGAGCTCTAATTCACCTGGTCAAAAATGCAGCCTTTTGTCTGAGCAAGGATGGATATGATGAACTTTTGAGCATTACCATTAATCACTTCTTTTTTCCCTTTCAACAGCTTAATGGTTATTTGTATGTGCACCTTAGTGTGCTGTCAAAAGCAACTTTAAAATGTTTCAGCTCATCCTGTTTTAAATACATATTCAAACTTTTCAGTAAGAATTTGCTCTGCTTTATTTGCCTGCATCTTGTATTCCACTCTTTATAAAATAAATAAATGCAGTGATAAAGCTGTGAAATCATTCTGTCTTTGTAAAAGAAGTGCTTGCAAGTCTTAAATGATTTAAATCGCATACCTGAATTAAGAAGGTACCTGAAGTGTTGATAAGGATTTAGGCTTTTTTGGTAAGCACTCCGTATGCTGCAAAGATCTTTGCAAAATAAGAGAATGATAGTTTGAGGTATTAAGTGTTAACTTCTGTTATATAACTTATATAAAAACTCAAGTGCTTATTAAATGTGCTTAATTCAGAATTTTCAGTCATTTTTTGGCTGTTACATAGCAAAAAAAAACCCTTTTAATATTTCTCTTGCTTTTAGCTCTTTGATGAAAAACTCCAGAACTGCAAAGATGATGAACAGAGAAAAGCAAGTACTTTTTGTCTTAAATATTGCTTATTTTGCTTGATCTGATAGTTTTGTGCATCGGTAGATGATAGATATTTAAATATATTATTTTCCTATTCTTCAAGTTGTCTAAATCACTACAAGCAATTGGAGTAACATAGCAATGTAACTTGTGTTGTGAGTAAATGGTGAATTGAATTTTTTAGTAGTACTGGGTGCCATACTTATGACATTGAAAAGATTTCAGTCTGTAGGAAATGATTGCTACTCCAGTGATTACTGCCACCAACTTCACAGCATTATAACTTAAATTTGCAATTTTTTTTTTTTAACAAAGATGAGCATTGAACAGATGTGTTTGTAGGAATAGCAAACCTATTCTGAAAATATAAACACCAAGAATCACATATTTCCCATATTCAACCTTCATTTGTTTCTGTTTCCGTGACCAGTAATGCTATGGGTTGGAAGCCTTCATTTATCTTAGGTGATTGTGTAAGTGTGCTTAATCTGTGGACAGCTGACCAAAAGAGCAAGATCTATAGACACTCTTTTTTTCCTCCCATACTTACTGCTGGGGAAGAATTCTCCTTCAATGCTGACCTCTGTTCAGGTGCTACTTTGCAGATCAGGCAGTATTTTTTTTTTTTTTCCTTCCCTGCTGTGACAGTACTTATAATCCCTAGAGACTTTCTGCACGTTGTGCTGATTTCTTTCTTCATCTCTGCAAGGTATTCATGGAGCAGACAGATTGACTTTGTAGAGAAGGGAAGAAGCTTATTTAGAAGAGGTCAGCTTCCTCAGTTTTCAAATCTTTAAGTGTTGCTATTACTGCAGATACCATTTATTCTCTATTAAAAATGAAAAAGATCTGACAAAATACTTTTTTTGATTGTGTCTCTTCCTGGACTGAAGCAGCTAAGAGGCTTTTTAATGCTGTATTTAGCAGTTTTCCTGTTTATGTAAATACGGTTCAGCTTTCAAGCTCTGGACTGAGTCTGAACTGCAGGGTACAGCCATCTAGCCCATAATCTTTTCATCTGGGGAAGTGAGATTTGGTGATTAGTTGCATGTTACGTGTTTCCCAAATAGCTAAATGCTGTTTTCTGCAGCTGTTTATGGCCAGGCGTTTAAAACTTGAGTGATTATTTTTGCAAGAGCATCGGACAAAACACTGGACATACTTTGTCTTTATAGGCTATAGGTTAGGGGATGGGTGTTCTGAGGTGCTTCAAGGTTTCCTGGATATTTTCTCCTCAGCCACGGTAATTTGTGGAAGTTGGAAGAATATTCAGACTTGATGTGAAGACTGAGAAATATTGTGGAGGAGGTGTAGCCTGATCAAGCTGTTTTTTGTAGCAAGTAGGTTTGGTGAAGTAAATCTAAAGCTGAACATGGGGATTTAAATTGCACTTCACTGATTCCAGCCATGAATTGGTCACTTCTTTTTGCCAGACAAACTGATCTGACTTTCTGTAGCCACATTATTATTGAATGAGGCAAAAATCTTGGTTGGTGAAATAAGATTAGCTTTCTGTTGATTCATCAGTGGTTTCATTTAAGAAGAAAATAATAATAATTAAAAAATCAGATATCAAGGAGGTGGAAAAAGCAGCTAGGTGGAGTAGTTTCAGTGGAAGCCTGCAACTTGATTAGATTAGTTATAGCATGTGGCTACATTCTGCAAATTAAATTGAAGAATTTGGAAGAGTCACTTTCCAAGAGACAGAGAAGTTAACACGTTTCTGCAGAGTATCAGTGTTTCATTTGAAAATGTTTAATACCTAAAACCAAGGAAACAGTAAAATTTCTTCTTAATTGATATTCAGGGAATAGGGATCTTGAAGAGAGAAAATTATGATAAATTAGTATGATATTTGGCTTTATATTTATTGTCTAATGGTTTTCATCTTCAACATACTTCTTGTTTAATTTAGCTAATGAAAGTCCAGAGACTCTCATATCTGTACTTGTTCTTTAGAAGGGTCTTCACAAGGACTGGATCTGTCTGGCTTTTTGGGATCATCATAGAATAGCTTAGATTGGAAGGGACTTCAAAGATTATCAAGTTCCAATGCCTGTGTATATGTACAGACATAGATATAGAAGACAGTATTCCATTTCCCCATGCTTTGTTCTTGCAGCGTAGCCATGGGGCACAAATGTGGAAGAAAACAAATGGATTAAAGCAGGATGTTTCTGCTTAGGCTGACCTCCTCACAAAAACTTCATTTCAAAAAAAAAAGTTATGATTGCATAATTTGTGGCTAGGCCTTGGTAACCAGGTGACCTGGGTTTTATCCCATCCAAAATCTTCTGTGCAACCTCAGGTGTGCTAGCTTTGTCTGCACCTATGTGCAAGAATAGCCATGTCTGAATTCAACTGTTGTTTGAAAGATTGCAGATGGGTTGGGAGAACACTGTGAGCAAATTGCATCACATGACCTGTCATCACTTTCAGATTTAACAGATTTCAACAGTTATATGCAAAGGGAATAAGATACTGATTTTTCTGGCGTGTAAATATTGTTATAACTTCTTGGAAAAAGTAGATAAAGAATAATAAGAAATGCTGATGGCTGCCTGCAGTTGGCTATGAAGCCTTGAGGCTGAGTGATTCATTGCAGTTTTTTGTCTTTCAGCTGATGAGAACTTTGTGTTTGGGTGCATGTATTTTGGTGCTGAAAGACTCAAAACTTTGAAGTGCTGTCATCATATTTCAAATGATTTCAGTACATGTTCATGAAGTTTGGACTGGAAGTGTAATAGAGATAGGAAAAACAATATAGGAATTCTTAACTGTTGGTGTATTTTGTGTTTGCAGCAGAAGTAAATGTAATGCAGCATCCCTGACAGGCAGTTTCCTATGTGGCTGTGTCTCAGTTATTCCTGTGGCACTATTTGGCCGCCTCTTGCCAAGACAGAGATGGAAGGAAATGTATAGCATCCTTATGAATAGTGTACAGAATAGTAAAACTGAAAGACTTTCCCTGGGCATTTGCTGGGAAACCATCGCCACATTTTTGTCCACGTGAACTAAGACTGTGAATCTACAGGAACAAACAGGCATGTTGCTCTCTTATGGTGTAGAATGTAGTTTGCAGTGCTGTGTGGGGAAAAATGTTCCTTCACACGCTTTGATTACTGAAGAGTCATACAGAAGGTGATTCAAGTCATGTCAGACATTCATATTAATCAAAACAAAGAGGTCTTGTAATTGAATGTAGAGAAGATCAGTGCTGAGTCCAATTGGATAATTTTGCCTTCAGCAGATAGACACAGGGACATCAACAGGATGCACGTGCTTCTTCGATAGGTCATGCTTATCTGTAAGAAGGCATGCAGATGCATTTTGCATGCCTGGTGTGCAATTCCACACAGGAAACACTTGTGAACCAGTGTTTCCAGATAAGAGGGCAGATTTCCAGGTGCATGAACTGTCTGTTTAGAAAAAGCAAGAATAGGTGTGCACTGTTATTTTTCCATGATTTTTCTTTTTAAAACTGAGTTTACCTATGTTTGCTTGTTACACTTGTACAAAGCTTAATTTCAAGTAACACTGGTTGTTGGAATGCACTGCTTTCAGTACACTGCATTAGAGTAGTGTAGTTGGAGTGAATCATCATACTGCATTTCATCTTTGTTGCTGTTAGTGGTGGCAGAGGTGAAGCACAGACTTCAATGGGTAGATATGTGTAATGTCACTGCTTAGAAATTTCTAAGCTTGTGACAGCTTCAGGTTTTAATTAGCAGCTTGAGGTCAGTCTTTTCAATTACAAGATGAAAATTTTGTCTTTATGTAGAAATAATTTTCTTTTCTGTTGATTGCTTTTTTTTTTTTTTTCATGCCCTCCATGTGCTTAAGATTAAATACAATGTTTGTACAGTATTTAGGTCAAACTACATGCTGGAAGTTCTTTCTTTAACCACACTGTTGAAATTTTTCTTTTACAGAAAATTGAAAGTCTGAAAGAAACCACCAGTGTAAGTTATTTCAATTTTTTAACTACTGCATAGATTTTCTTTTGAAAAATTCTGAACTTCATTACTGAAAAATGGAAGGTTGTTTTTGTTTTCCCTTTTTCATTTAGGGTGATGGAATTTCAAACTTAATGTTCAGAAACAGAATAAAATAACCTTTTATATCACTCATTCCACACAGAACATGTTGATGACCTGTCTCTCTCTCTTGTTTGCTCATATTTCAACCTTACCAAAAGTTTTTTGAGTAGTAGGAAAAAAAAAACATAACATAAAAAAAAAACATAACCAGGTTATCTTTACCATTTGATAAATCCACAATTTTTCCAGTATAAACATCTTTTTAAAAACAAACAAACAACTTATCACAGATGTGCTCTTCAGAGTCACACAAAAGGGACTGCTTAACTTTACTAACATGGATAGCTTGCTTCTCCATATCTGTTAAAACTTTGAATGAGATGTCATTGCCTACAGTGGGGAGTGTGGATTCTGTGCTCCAAGAACATTCTGTTGTTTTGTCTTGCTTGTTCCATCCCTTCATCTCAGTTTTTCAGACGCTTACTTTGTAGTGAATGCTAAGATTATGTCTTATTTCTGGATCTATGTTTTTAGACTTGAGTCTGGTCCTGGCCTCTTCCAGTCCTTTATCAGTATTTCTTCATGTCTGGTAAATCATAGGGATGTCCTGTAACAATTGTGGAAAATTACCACTTTGCCTTGAATTAATTTTCTCTGAGTTCTGATTAAATCAGTGTTTTCCTCTCCAGTTGAATGTTATATTTTTCCAGTCTTCTTCCCCACCTTGTCTTCTATGCTGAGTCTTCTATAGGATTTTTTCTATTTCTTGAATGCTTGTGCATTCTCTCAGAGCACTGATTTGCCTGTTAATCTTCCACTGCTGTCCTCACCTAAGTAGTGCTTAGTGGATTACCCTGGATAATGGAAAAATCTCACTCCAGTGTGGATTTCAAGGAGCACAGTACAGGGTCAGCTTGGGGCCCAACTGGATTTCAATCTTTAGTAGCAGCTCTCATATCAGACCAAGGCTAATTCCTGCAGAGCACTGTCTCAGTGGGTGCTCTGGTTTCTGGAAATCTGTATTAGATCCAGTGGTGTAATGTCAAAAGGGCAGCCTGGTTCTGGTTCTGCTTTCAGATTTAAGTCTAGCATCTTAGAATTGTAAAATCATAGAATAGCTGAGTTTGGAAGAGACTTTGAAGGTCTGCAGTCCTGCCCCATGCTCAGAGCAGGGTCAGGTAGAGCAGGTTGCCCAGGACTGAATCCCCTTGGGTCTTCCTTTATTTGGTTTGTGGCTATTGCTTGCTGTTCTGTCACTGGATACCAGTGCAAAAAATATGCTGTCTTCCTGCCTTCCCTCTTTTATCAGATGCTTAAACCCATTGATAAGGTCTCCCTTGAACATCCTTCTCTTTAGGTTATACAATCCCAGCTTTCCTTAATCATCTTTCCTATCATTCCAGTCCTTTGCTGGAATTTGCTCCTAAATACCCAAGTTTGTCTTGTACTGAAGTGTGGTACAAGTTCAGACAGCTCTGCAGGAGTCTGCTTATTAGTGCTAAAATATGAGCTAGGCCAGACCTTTTCTGCTTTCCCCAGGATGTTGTGGTGGATAATGGCTGTAGCTCAGTCCTGTTAGCTGTGCCCAGCATGGCCCAAGATAATTCCCTACAGGGCCCTTGGTTTTCAGGCGACATGGTGTAGAAGCACATCAGCCAACTCTCTTAAGGCGGCAAATTTTCTTGCTCTTTCGAAAATTTTCTCTTTTAACATGTTTTGTCATCCTGGATCTCTTTATATGCTGATTTTTAATGTTTTCTAGTGCTCCTTCTTATATCATTACTGTTGCTTCTCCCTCACATGTTCAGCTTTTTCTTTGGTATTCTGCTGTTCTTTTATTGTGCTTTATTTGTATAAAGTATCAGAACTTGCACTGTCTCATCTTCTGAGGAACATGTTACCTTCCCACTAGTTACTTTTATTACTTTTTTCTTTTTCCCTTCCCCCTTAACTTCATCTTACAGAGAGAACTTGTCAAGTATGTAAGTGAGGGATCCCTTTCATCAAAACTAAAGAAGTAGTACTGCTAAATGCATTAGATCCAACCTTTTGCTCAGAATTTTCCTGCTTGCATTTCTGTGAAAGTTAGAAGCTGACTTCCATTTCTCCTTGGAATGCTGTCCTTTGTGTGGCTTTTGGAAGCTTCAGTTTCCTGCTGCTATGCCTCTGTCCTTGGCAAAAGAAATACAGAATAAAGGGGTGGATGAGGGGAGGGAAAGTAGGGCTTCTACAGAAGTGTCTATTTAGGTTTTGACAAATATTTCCATTAATATTCTGTGCAACCATGGAAAGTACATGATGCTGATATAAGGTTTTTTGTTTTTTCTTATTTTCTTAGAGCATGGTAGAATCAATAAAACACTGCATTGTCTTGCTACAGATTGCTAAAGTAAGTACTGTAACTTATTTTGATTTTATTACATGGCATTAATCTGTGAGAACATTTTATCTTCTGAGAATTTGAAATGTGAATGTACTCTACACATTCCAGAATGTGAATCCAAAAAATGTTCTAAGTTGATTTGTACTAATGTGTTTTAATGAAGTTTCTGACACACTGAGTTCCAGAGCAGCCAATTTGGTCTGTTCCTATTAATAGTTGTGTTGATGACAGAGGTCTTTTTTTTTTTTTCTTTTGAGATGAACTTGCAGAGTTTTCAGAGTAGGTCAGAATTTCAGCTAATATAAGAAGAGTAGAATCTAAGCTTAACAAAACTAACTGTTCTTCTTGTTTCATTTAAGAGTGTGACTAGCAGGAATAGGGAAAGGGAAAATGATGACGTTAATAATCTAAACTGGTTTGACAAGGTTTTTATAGATCTGAAATTGATGACCACGGTGGAAGATCTTGAAATAGGCTGTTTTATTTGAGAATGCAATATGGGCAATGCAGGTACACTTTTCACTGTACTTTTGTTACTTTTGTGTACCTAGTGAGATTCAGATTTTTTTGGTCAGGTGATGCTGTATTTAGGATATGTTACTTAAGATGCTGATTTATACACCAGAAGCAAAGTGAAGGTGGACAGTGGTTTTCAAAGCAAAAGAATTTAAGACAATTAGAACACATACTAATTTATTTAGAAATAAGTGTATGCATAATTTTTCTGTCATCCAAACTTCCTTTTTCCATGGCTTTCAATTAAGATACTGTTGCTTATCTTCATTACAGATACAGATGCATTTTACATAATTTTGAGGCTAGTGAAAATCAGGGTATTTGAAACCTTCAGAATCAGGTTGCTTTGGGGGCAGAAGTTGTTACTTAAAAGATCACTGCATATCTTGTGAAATTTAGATTTCACATCAGTAGCCTAAAAAGGTGGTAAAGCTCTGAAGGAAAAGTGCATTAGCTAACGAGTTCATACAAAAAAGGTCTTTACAAATAGTAGAGTACATAGAAGCAGTTTTGTGCCACATTAATGTAGAGTGAGAACAGTTTAGTTTAATGTACAGTGATGCTATCTGAATCTTTCACAGTAGTGACAGCAAAAAGAGGCTTGACGGTGCCTAATATTTTGCTATTATTTAGCACTGAATATATTTAAAGTGTTTTAGCATAATGGAACTGGTAGATAATGTGCCCTTCTTCAGGGATTTGGAGGAGTCAACTGTAGATAGACTGAATAGGGTTGCTGTCTTACACAGATGTATCTGACTTGCTGTGTTAAGGTAGCTGTTGGAGAAACCCTGTGTAACAAATGACTTGCTCATTTTTTGTTACTTCTACATAAATGTGTGTAGTAGTTGTTATTTACATAGAGGTTTAATTCCCATGAAGTATTTCTTACTTCATTATTTATTTATTTGAATGTTCTACTGTGCAATTAGTGGTAAATTTGAAAGAGAGTTCCAGTCTTTTTCCCATTGAAGATGAAATCCCATTTCTTCTATGTGCTTTGGGTAAGTTTAGTGGGCTAAGGACAAATGTGATTGTTTATCTTGCACTGATGCTAAGTATATCATTTTGAAGCTGGTTCAATAGTTTGCCAAGAACAGACAGAATTGAACTTGTAGTGACAGTTATAGTCATTTTTTGATGAGATTCAGTGCTTTGTGGCTCTAGCTGTCATATAAGCATCAAGGTAGGTATCTGGATCCCAGAAAAATACTAAAATTCTTGATTTATGTAACACTGAATCACTTTGAAGTCCTTCCTTCAGTACTAGCAATTAATCACTGTAAAATGACTGGTGTTTAAATTTTGGCTCTTTTACTAAGGAATAATCATATCTAAAAATCTTTCAGAGCAGTAATTTTTCCCTTCTGTTTTATCACTTCCATCTCCTACCTTTCTCTCTCTTAGACAAATGTATTTGTTGCTGACATGGCCTTTCTGTCCCATCCCTTTCCCTCTCATCCTCACCTGTGTTGGTATTTTGATTTCTTACAACTGTTGGTAATTAAAAATCTGCCAATGATTTTTGTGTGTTTTCATCTGGTTGGTTTCTTTTTCTCTCTGTTCTGTTAGTTCCATGTCTGTGAAGTTCTAAGCGTGTAACAGTGTTCTGTGTCTGATAGCTTTCTGTTCTCCAGCATATAACCTTCTAAGAATCTGGAAGATTTGCTCCCAAAGCTGTAAGGCAGATATGGCTGCTGACTTACACTGCTGAAATTAAATCACTATGTTAACACATACCCTCTTCCCCTCTCCCCATCATGCCTGCCCTTTTTACTGCTACAGATCCTTTCTCATTAGGAGACAGACTTCAAAATTCTCATTTTTTTGCATATCTTGAAAGTTGTTACTACGTTTCCATCCCAGAACATCTCTATTTCCATCATACAACCAATTGCTATTTGATGGTGCGTTGAGGAAACCTAATTCTTACTGTGCATGAAGCTGTTTCACACATTGGCAGCCTACTTTAGGAATGGGCAGTTAAATTTTTGTTAAAGTTGCTGGGGGATGCAGGGCATAATTGTGCCTCTTGTAACCCAGGGCACTCTGAAAATAATGCAGTAAGTACTTTGTATGTGTTGTAATATTCTTGACTTAGAAAAAGCAATTAAGCCAAACTGAGTGGGAGGAGAGCAGCATTGGCTTGGGTTCACCCCTGGCTGTGTATGATAACTGGAGTTGCCCAACTTTACTGATACTAAATGTACATAGTGGTCTGCCAGTGATCTGATGAACTGACAGAAATATGTAGGACATGTTCATGTAGTAATTCTTATAGTTCAGATGTTTAGTTTCATATCTTTGCCTTCACCATTTCTGGTCACTTCTGCCTGCCCGCCTCAGTTGCACGCTGTGTAGCTGATGCTGTGCTGTGAAGATAGGATGGCAAGCATCAGTATGAAAGCAGCTTCTTTGTGTTTTATATCCTAGGAGTTAGTGAAGGTAACCAGATGGGGAAACTTCGTTTGTTTGGAGGGGGGGAAAAATTGATATTTTTCCTTCCTTGTTTGTAAGTTTACAACCCACTGGAACTCCTTGCCTTTAGTATTGTTTTTTATTATGGACAGTCCTGCTTAGGAAAGGTCAGCTAGCTGATGTGAAATCTGAGCAGCTTTTTGCCAAGTGTTTAAGCTAAGGAAGGGTGTACAAAGTATTGAGACGTAAGTATGTGCTACCTCTATTTGTTCATGCTATTTACAGCTTTTTTCCCTTTGATCCTCTTTGCAACTTTAACTGGAAATCTAGAGAATAATCTGTAGAGAAGTCTTAAAGTTGACAGAAAGATACTGGCTAATGGGAACTTACAGCAGAAGTGAAGAAATTTCACCTGGTGTGCAGTGAAATTTAATACTGGTGCTGGTACAGTGTTAAACCTGTGCTAGCTATAGATTGATATGAACTTAACTGTTAGTAGTTTAATTTCCTCTGATGACAGTTTATTCCATGCACTGCTTGCTCCTTCTCATAATGTTTCTAAGCAGAAATAAGCCACACTAGACTGTAAATGTTATTAAGGTTTAAATCCAGTAGATATGAAAAGGTTCAGAACATTTAATCTATGAAAGTACTATTGCCTTTCAAAAGCAAAACATGCTTTTGAAAACTTGCTCTGTATGCTAATTGCTGTTCTTCAGAAATGGAGAACTTCAGCTTTCAGTTTTCAGGGACTCACCAGTGCTGCAGATCTTGGTTTGGGGACTCTTAGCTAGTTGGGAAGAACCTGCATTGTGAAATGTGACTGTGTCCTGCAGGGTAGAAGGGATATTTTTAAAGCTTATTGAACTTGTTTGAAAGATCCTCGTAAAACACTTACGTACAGAGTGTGGTGATGATGTATGGAGTTCTCTCCAAGTTTGGTTACTGTACCCCATGGTGAGGAACACTAACATCTTATGGCAGAAAATGTAAAGGTTCCTAGGAGAAGCCTGCTGTTAGAGGTCTCACATAACACAAAACTGCTACGTCATACAAGACTGATTTGTTGATACTCTTAACATTTTTTCCTTAAGGACCAAAATAATGAGGAGAAGCACGCAGATGGACTTATAGTAAGTTTAAATCTAATCCTTATCTCCCTTCTGCAGAACATGTGAACAGAGACCTGACTTTCCACTCATTTTGCAATGTTGTTCTTCCTTTCTCTAATTTACTGCTTCAAGCACCTTACTGAAATTCCCATTGAGTCGTTAACTTCTGAGATTGGCTCACAGCCTTGCCGTTAGAAAATACAGTGCCAGTTTTATACTGAGTGTTTTAAATGGCATTGTTATGACTGAGCACATAGAAAAGTCTGCCATGTGAGCAGATGAAAGGGAAATCACTGGTATATAAATAGTTCTGTGTTCCATCTGAAATATCTCCATGTATAAAATAGATCAGCTATCCGTGTGCTTCCAGTAGCTTGTCTTTTCTGCAATGCTGCTCATTCAACACAGTTGTATTCTGTCTGTTTAAGCAGTGTTCCTTCTTCAATATAACTTCTGCATTTTTAATGCAACTTCTGTCCTCTTTGGTTTAAGTCACTTCTCTTTCTTTGTTCTCTTTTTTGTCACTGAAGTACATTTCAGGTACTTTTAATATGAAATTGGTTTGAGTAAAACATGACTCTAAAAATTAAAATCTGTTTTTGTTACAGTTGACAGTAATTCCAAAGCCTTGCTTGTCTTTCCTTTGTATACAGCTTTGCTGGTACAGTTTTCTGTCATGAACTTTGGAATACAGATGCACATAGAAGTTTTGGCCTCATGCTTGTTGCAAGTAACATAAGCAGTTCCCCTGTGTGTGACATAGTTCAGACCTTAGTGTAATAGAGTAGGCACTGGAAAAGAGAGCATGCAGCCCTGCCCTGTGGCAGTGTCCTGTGGTAGAGGTGATGCGGACAGCAGATCTACAGCTTGGAAATTTTAATACAGGTACTGCACCTTAACAGAGTCTAAATTTGATTTTCTACTTTCTTGCTGTCTGTGCTCTGGCTTATGCTGAAAAAGTATATTAAATGATGCAACAGGATGTCGTGAAGGCTGGAATTTTGGTACTCCTGAAGTCAGTATTGTCTTGGGTAGAGGTCAGGATTTCAGTTTGATCTTGTTGCCATGCTGGAATGACAGTTTGGCTGCTCCAACATGCTTGGATTTTTTTTACCCTGTTGTTAAAATCAGTATGCTATGTTCAGGTCTTCCTTCATTTCTTTCTAAACCATGAAGGCATAGCCCAAAATATCTCCCAAAATACCTCCAGTTCATGCTGCATAGTGAAGAATTATTTAAGAATACAGTTACAACCCTGCAAACAAAGTCAAAAGATGAAGTTCTTTGTTACTTTATCACAGCAGTGTTCTGTGTTTCTGTATCACGTTACTGGTTTCCCTAAAACCTAAGGGAGACAGAGTCTTGTGTATCATGGAACTATCTTTATTCTAAAGTCTCTCAGCTCTGAAAAGAGGATGATGATTTTGAAATGTGATGTTTGTGGGACAGGGAGCTGCCTTTATTGCATGCATAGATGCACATTAGGACATTAAGATTATGTCTAAGGGAGGCTGTCTTTGTGTTGGAATGCAGTGGAGTAAACAGTATATGCACTGGATTGTTTATTTGCATACTAGTTAATGACACCAACAGAAACTTGGTGATTTTATGTTTTTTTTCTCTAACTAGGAATTTTTGTTTAAGGTAACCAGAGAGCAATAGAATGATAGAATTGCTCAAGTTGGAAAAGACCTTAAAGATCATCAAGTCCAACCACAAGCTAACCATACTACCCCAACTCTGACTACCCTCTGCTAGATCACATCCCTTTGTTTTAATATGAAATAAGGTTCAGGAAGATAGCCAGAGAAGAGGCAAGAATGGAGTCTTCCTTTTGTAGGAAGTTTGAGAAGAGAAAGTACTGTGTTGCTTCCTTTGCTCGATAGCTTTTGGTTTAAGTACAGTAGCAAGATCTCCTAGTAAGCAGGCAACAAAAGATTTTCAGTTTTGACATAGATCAGTGTTCTCTAATTTCAGGATGTATTGAAAAGGGTCTTACATGCCTCGCACCAAGTAACAAGCCAGAATAATATACAAATTCAGGTTGTTACATGTAAACATGTATGAGAAACAGTGCTTAGATGATAACAGATCAGTGAAGCAAGGCAAAATCATGCCTGTTTGAATTTAAAGATCACTGCAATATACGTTTCCAGGAGGCTTTTCTGGTATAAAAGCCAAAAACTCATAATGAAACCGGTGACTTCTGTGAGTGATGATTCAAAGTGGTGCTTTGCTTCCAAAGTGCCTGTGTTCTTAACAAGGTTGAGATGTTCTTTGCTGAGAACTGTCAGCTTGCATTCAAAAGAATTTTGGCAATGAAGTGGCACTTTGTGGCTGTAAATGTGCCAGTGATTCCTGATTGAATGTATGGGTTAAGTTTGGCTGATGAGGTTAATTTCTGGAAAGAAAAAAGAAGTCTCTTGAAAATAGAGATTACCTGTCCTAATTCTGGTTGATTTGTGTCCAGCTTTCCATGCGTTGTGTGCAGTATGTATTCATGGGTACCAGCAGCTAGAACATGAAGTATGAATTCTTCATAGGACAAGTAAAACCCATAGAAAATTCAGTTCAATATTTAAAAATTTTTGTAAGGAATCAAAGTATTACTATTTTGAAAGTATTTCTTGTGTCCTCAACTGTCAATTCGTGTTTCACTTTCTCTCTCAGGAATTTGCTGCCTTGCCTTTAAGTATTTCTTGTGCTCATAGTGTTCTTATTATCTATGCTGTTGTTGTTTTTTTTTTAATTGAGGAAAAAAAATGTGCTTTTGTTTCTTTTATCTCAGAGTACTATAAACCCTGTCGATGCAGTGTATCAGCCCAGTCCTTTGGAACAGCCAGTGATCAGTGCAATGCCTTCCCACACTGTTATACCTCCAGGTACGGAAGAGAAGCTCTCCAGAAATACTCATGAGCAAGCTGGATGCAGCTGCACTCCAGATGGAAGGGCTGCATAAGGGTGGATTGTTTCTGTGCTACGTGTATGCAGTACAGGTGCTCACTGCACCTGGTGGTGCAGAGCAAGGGAAAAGAGCAGGAAGCCTGGAGCTTCCTCAGCCATCACATAACACTGCCTCTAGTTCTGTGGATAAGCCTACGTGTTACACTTGTCCTGAGTTACCAGCTTATACTTCTGATATTCTTTCCTAAAGTAAATAAAAGTATATTTTTTTGGAAAAGAAGCACTTTTTAGCTAACTAATGACAACCTTTGAAATTTAAAATTTAATTGACAGTGGCAGAAGTATGTTTCTCTGGGAGATTTGTCTAGACAAAGTTTTTTTTAATACAATGATATAATGTGGAATCTCCACTGAAAAAGCACAATTCTCATAAGTAAATGTGACTTTTGTATTTAATGTCTTAAAATATATCCTAGAACCTCAGCTGTGCAAGTCAGAGCAGCGACCCTCATCTTTACCAGTGGGACCCGTAGTAGCGGCTCTTGGAAATCAGACTCCAACACCAAATAGTACAGGTACAGCTCTGTGTACATGACTGATGAACAGGAAAGAAAGCTGAATATATGCTGTCTGTAGTCTGCTCTGCTATTAAAGTAACACTGCACGGGCCAATTATAAAGGAAGATCTTAAACTGTTAGTCATATTATAGTCCTCTCTCTTTGGGAGCAATATTCACTGTTTATTCCCATTGATACAATTCCCTCTGAGCTAATCTTCCATCAGTAATTCTAGAGATGTGATTTTTATTTATTGAATTATTGCATATTAATTGCTTGACTTTTAACCTGGAAGATTTGTCAGATGGTCTGACTTTTTTTCTGAAATGTTTGTTGTGATTTCTATACAGTAAGAGCAGTCAAATTCTGCAGAAAGACTGTGAAATCTTCATCTTGGGAGATATTTAAAATCTGACTATATGTGAATTTGAACAAAGTGTTCTAAATTTAAAGTTATTTGTGCTTCAAGTGGGAGTTGGACCAGATGACTTCTAGAGGTCCATTCCAACATAAGCCATACTGTGTATCTGTAAAAGTTTTCAGTATCGCTGTTTTGCTTTTAATCTACAACTTTGGAGAAAGTATGTCCTCATACTTCACTGTTCTATGCTCTTAATTTTTTTTGGGGGGGTGACATTTCTTTTGGTATCTGTTAAGCCAAGCTGAATATGAACCTGACTAATGTTTGCTTCTAATTTTGTAAGCTATCCTAGCTTCTGGGTTTAGTTGAGTCTTCATTGATTGATTGAAATCAGTTCTAGAGAATTGGTGGATTTAGTTTTTTGTTGTTTTTGTTTATTATATGATTGTTCTTCTTAAATTAAATTCGTAATTCTTAATACTCCACAGGAAGCGGGCAGTCAGCACCCAGCAGCAGCCTCACTTCTCCAAGCCATGTCAATCTGTCTCCAAACACAGTGCCAGATTTTTCTTACTCAAGCAGTGAGGATGAATTCTATGATGCTGATGAATTCTATCAAAGCAGTTCTTCCCCAAAGCGATGTATGGAGTAAGTTACTGAAAGAATGCAGTGTGTGCTGAATACAGATTCTATTTTTGTTGTTGTTTTGTTGTTGTTTTGTTTTTTAAATCTCAAGTGTATGGCTCTACTGGCAGAGGTCGTTTAATCAAACAAGACAGATTGACTTAAAATAAAGAAAAGGCAAGTCTTTCACTCTTTGTGAAACAGAATAAGAACACCTTATCCCCCAGCATGGTTGTCTGTCAGGGATGCAGTTTCATTCCCATTCCAGCTGAAATTGACGTTGACATGACTTTCAAGAGAGTAGACTGAAATAGGGAAGCCACCAGCTCAGAGAATTAATCCGAGGCTAGGATGTATTTCATACATATATGTTGTGTAGATAGCCAAATCTTGTCACAAAATAATAATGATATTATTTTATAAAATAATAAAAATGAAAACAAAAACCCCTTAAGTTGCCTGCCTTTCCCAAAGACTCTATTTCTTTAACCAGAAACATAATTTTAAGAGATGCTACAAAGTTTTCTGTGAAATAGCATGCAAACTCCTTAAAAAATTGAAGCCTATGTATAACAGTATTATAATAATTTCTGAATTTTCTCATTGTGAATTGCAAGAACTTCTTCTTTTTTAGTTCTTCAGGGTCTGCTGCAGTCCTGACTCGCAGCAGCACAGGGAGTAGTTTGAAACGTCCAGATACCACAGAGTCACTCAATTCTTCCATGTCCAATGGGACAAACGATGCTGGTAAGTGGACTGTGTGAACTTTATGTAAGGAACTTTTAATTGTTGATCTGTCTGTAAACCATGTCAGTATATGTATACAACAAGATATCTGTGGCAAATAAGACCTTTCAAACAACTTTTATTTTTATATATATACTAGTTAAATACAGAGAGTCTTTGAAGGTTTAGAGAAAAAAGCAATTTGGTCTTTTTAGATCTCTTCGATCCTCCTGATGATAGAGATGATGATGCAGAAGGAGAATCAGTGGAAGAACATAAGAGTGTTATCATGCATCTCTTGTCACAAGTCAGATTAGGAATGGATCTAACAAAGGTAATCTTGCCAACTGTTCATGGGAGGGAGAGGAATGCCCCTGGTTCTGTATAAATTGCTTCAATACTGAAGTGATAATCTAACTGTACACTTAATGGCTAGTCATGCTATGGCATTTTATTTTTTAATTAGAATCATTACTGGGAGAAGAAAAAGGAATGCTGAATAAGTATATGTGACTCCTAAAATCTGATTGGACAGTTTTCTGTTGGAAAATAATTGTTGTTGGAAGCAGAAGGACAGGTGGAATGTTGCTAATGTGTACAGCATCCCTGTTACCCCAGATTTATAGGCAGTTCAAGGATCAGTTCGAAGAGAACAAGATCTGTGATACTCCAGAGTATGGTAACATCCAGTAAGATGTATGCCTCAAGTAAAAGCAGGTATTAAGCCTGTAGTGAAACACTTTGCTGAACTGGGATTTCTTGGAGTAAGTTGCTTGCTTATTTCAACTGCTACACGTAGATCTAAAGAGTTGGAGCGTTCCTGATTGTGACCTCCTAAAGTGGGAATTCATTGGCGAGTTTGAGAGCAACATTTCCTCACAGACACACAAAGATTTGGGTGGTTTGTAAGCCACTTACAATTAATATGTAGAATGATTTTGTGCAGGTTGTAGAATACTTTGATCTGTCTGTAAGAGCTCGTTTTCGTTGCTCAGGTGGTTCTTCCAACATTCATCCTGGAAAGAAGATCACTGTTGGAAATGTATGCTGATTTCTTCGCGCATCCGGACTTGTTTGTCAGGTATTCAGTGTTTAAAGTAGAGCATTAACTGGTTCTTACACTGTCTATGGCTCCTGTGGGCTGTCAAATATAAAATACTAATTTTGAAGAAAAATGCTCAAGTACTGATCTGAACTTGAAAAACAGTCATAGTAATCTAGTCAAACCTTTAGCTGGAAAGTAATTAACCATCCAAAAACTTTCCCACGTTTGAGATACCTACTTATATGATGTGTTGCCTTTTCTTCTTTTCTCTGTTTTGGACTATGAAGCATTAGTGACCAGAAGGATCCAAAAGAAAGAATGGTTCAAGTGGTTAAATGGTACCTCTCAGCTTTTCATGCGGGAAGAAAAGGGTCAGTTGCAAAAAAGCCTTACAATCCCATTCTGGGTGAGATCTTCCGATGCCACTGGGTACTACCAGGCACTGAAGGTGAAGATGATACGGTTAGTTTTCTAGTGGTATGTTTTTTGGTGCTTATAACCCATGCGTGTAATTCCAAAAGCTTTATTAGTTTACTGACTGAAGTTGCATATGCTGTGTTCAAGGAGCAAAATTTACCAATTGTGGCAATTTCTTAACTGATTTTTTTTTTTCCTGCCTTCCTCTTCTTCATTTTCTTTGGATAGAGGTTTTAAATACAGTGCATAACAAAATCAGAGCCTTCAGGTTTTTGTAAGAACTATCTGACTTGTTGAAAACGTTCTTTTATTTCCTGAACAGTTTTCTATTAATTTTTCTTTTAAAGTTCTGATTTTTATCAGTTCTCCAATGATGTGTATTTTGAACATGTGCTTCTTTCCATCACTTAAAACATGGAAAGCAGCACAGTTTGTCCAGTATGTTTAGTTCTTGTCTTAAAATCTTCTCCTGAAGTTTGAAAGGTACAAAGTCTTCTCAAATTTGGATTCTGAGCTTGCACAATATTTTAGTTGGATATCTGTGTCTGGCCACTCTTTCTGTACTCCAAAGGAATAGGCCTGCTTCAGTCAAGGATGTCTAGGTCTGAAATAATCTACTAGTGTGTGAGATCATACAAAGTCTTTCTTATTTCTGAGGTGCATGTTTAAAATCTCTTTTTCTTGGAATAAAGACAGTGCTGTAATTTTCCTTCCATTGCTTCTGACAAATTACTACTTGTGATTTGCCACAGGAGACAAATGGTCTTACATGGTTGTGTGAGACATACGATCTGACCATTACTAATACACGTGTCAGACTTTCTGAGAAGCAAAAATGAAATGATCTCTGCCACCTATCTGTTATTAGCTAATAAAAAAGAAAGGGAATTTAAATACTACTTTTTAATCAAGTTTATGCATGTTTTTTTTAACTACTGTTTCAGTATCATGGTCATCACCCCAAATACTTTTTCATTTAAAACCCAGAGAGCAGAAACTGTATGTTCCTTGCAAAGCATCGTAGTTTCAGGAATGAGTTACCCCATGTTAAATTAGCAAACTGACAAATATACAAAACCCAACTGAAATCTTGTTTTTAGAAGCCTACTTTAAACATGGAAGCATCCTATTGCTTTCTGGTGTTTTGTTAACACTGTCAATGATGAAAATCCTCTTTCCTATCACACAGGAGCCAGTTTCAGAAGGACCAGTTCCATGGGTCAGCAAAAGCAACGTAACATTTGTGGCGGAGCAGGTCTCTCACCATCCTCCAAGTAAGTTGACAGTAAATTTGCTAACAAAAATGGCAACAGTCAAGTAAAAATCTGGTTTAAATCTTGGATTTACATGTTCGCTCTGAATCTAAAAGCAGAAAGTTTTTTCTATAAACATCTTTCACAGAGAGAAACAAATTCAAACTGTTGCTGCATATTCTTAGGCACTTTTAGATATTTCCTGACACAGGAATTTGAAAGCAGTATTAATTTCTTAATTAAATTCTTGTTTGCTGATCTTAATATCTTTATCTTCAGTTTCAGCATTTTATGCAGAGTGTTTTAACAAGAGGATACAGTTCAATGCTCACATATGGACCAAGTCAAAATTCTTAGGAATGTCAATTGGAGTTCATAACATAGGGCAAGGTATGTGCAAATTTAATAATAGAATGAAAATCTACATTCTGCAACTAGAACTTTGACAGAAAATATTGTAGGTCATCCTATGGGACATAGGTGTTTGAGTTTATGAAACTAGAACTTATGTACCTAGAAACTGAAGATCTTCTAGAGCCAAATTCTTCCTGTAAACACCACAGCTTTCCCTGCCTTGTCTGGCAGCTAGGCATTCCCAGGCTCTGTGAAAAATAAAGCTCTCCACCTTTCCTTTTTACGGTGTCTCTTTTTAATAAGTATCTCAGGAGATCATTATGAGAAGCTTTATAAAGGATTTGCTGGATGTTTTTAATTTTTTCATCTTTTTAACAGGGTGTGTCACATGCCTGGATTATGATGAACACTATATTTTGACCTTTCCTAATGGTTATGGAAGGCAAGTAAATACGCTGTTCGGTATTTTCATTTTTCTTGTCTTGTAACACATTTTACATTCATCACTTAAAAGGCTCTACATGTCTATACGTATGTTTATAACTGCAGGTCTATTCTCACTGTGCCATGGATAGAGCTTGGTGGAGAATGCAGTATTAGCTGCTCAAAGACAGGCTATAATGCTTCCATTGTCTTCCACACAAAACCATTTTATGGAGGAAAGAAGCACAGAATTACAGCTGAAATCTTGTAAGCAAGCAACTTTCTTCAGTTCATTTCCATTTTCTCTACTTAAATGCTGACTGTGATTTTTAAAGTCAACACTGTGAACCCAACAGCTTGGGTTGTGATGATTATGTGCCACGGGATGCCATTTACAGCCAGAGGATTTGTGAGGAAAGCAAGCTAAATCAACCTGCATTCTTGCTTGGCATGCTCTTAAGTATTTTTAGCTGTATCCCAAAAGGAATTTAAGTCTTCAGCTCTGAATTATCTAAGATGAAGTTTTGATACTTTGGGCTTCTTAGTTACTGTAATAAAACTGGGAAATATCTGGTTTTTTTTCTTCCTAGTTCTCCTAATGACAAGAAACCCTTCTGCTCAGTTGAAGGAGAATGGAATGGTGTCATGTATGCAAAATACTCAACTGGGGTAAAGTACTTTTTTTTTTAAAAGAAAAACTCTGTGTGTGTGTGTATGAAAATATGAAATAAACATTAGCAGTTGGGAACTTGTGGGAAGATGCTCAAAAGATTACAGGAATGCTGAATTCAGGATTTAAGTCTTGAACACAACCAGTACACAGGAATGTGAGGGTATATAAATTACAAGTCCAGATAAAGAACTGATGTCTTTCTTTTTTTACTCTCTCACTAGGAGAATACTGTCTTTATAGATACCAAGAAAATGCCTATAATTAAGAAGAAGGTAAGGAAATTGGAGGACCAAGAGGACTTTGAGTCTCGCTGGTAAGAACTTCAGTTAAACTGACAATTCAGCTCTACTTTGTGTAGCTGAGCAGTATGCAGTGTGACAGAGCAAGTGCTCCTAACTGCTTACAGCATGGAGGCTGTAAGCAGTTAGGAGCACTCTGGCTGCACTCTGCCTTGGCCCTCTGAGGTGCTTCCGTTCCTACTGAGGGAGGAACGGAAGCACGAGCAGTTTGGGGCTTTAATAGGGAAGAGGAGATGTAGCTGTTGGTCACATCCTCACTGGGAGGTCCAGAGAACTTTGCTACACTCTCCCTGTTTCTGGCAGAAGGCAATGCAGTTGTGGTTTAATATGTATTGTATTTCTGTCCTTTGGATGAGTGATCAATTCAAACAGTGATAATAACTAATACGCAGTAATGTTTCTGCAGTCTCATAGCACTGTGCTTCTGTAAAGCTGTCTCCTTTCCATTCAAATTTCTGTTTTCAGCTTATGGAAAGATGTGACCTACAACTTAAAAATAAGAGACATTGATGCAGCTACAGCTGCAAAGCACGCACTTGAAGAAAGACAAAGAGCTGAAGCCAGAGCAAGAAAGGAGAATGAGACTCCATGGGAAACAAGGGTGAGCTTTTTTCAAAGAGTGTTAATGTCTCATAACCTGTAGTATTTTACTGTCCTTTTGCAATTTAGGCATAAAAAGCTTATTCTTAGTTACTCTCTTTTCTCTAGTTATTCCATGAAGATGGAGAATGCTGGGTTTACGATGAGCCACTACTGAAACGACTCGCTGCCAGTAAACACTGAGTGGGTTAGAAAAACAGAAAATGTTCAGGCCTTGACTTAGCAGAGTTCACATCTGATACCAAGATAGTCATCTGTTGTCACGTACGTAACGTTTGGAGCACCTGTCCCCTCCAGTTACAGAGGTTCCTATCTCAGGGATACCGGAGTTGGTGATGCAGATAAGCAACTAAACAAAACAGGAAATGTCTCGGCTGCACGGTGACTTCTGTTGAACTCTGCTAGACTGGTAGTGCATGCAGGCTGCAGTGGCAGGCTGCTGGAGCCCTTCCACTGATGCTTCTGAAGCATTTGGGCTGACATACACCTTGTATAACCACTGTGAAGGCCTTGACATTTTGCTCTATCAGTTACATTATATTCCTGTTTCTCCCACCCACTGTAATTCCTACTGCAACATTTTTTCTTGGAGGAGATGTAACTGCTATTAAACAACTGCTACAGCACTGCAGGAATGATGCACAGGACAGCTGGAACAGAACAGCAGCCCCTGCCCTCCCACAGCTGGCGAGGGGAAAGCTCTTTTCTCTCCCACTGGAGGATGGGGCTGTGTTGGGTTGTGCCTGTGCTGATGAGAGGGGTGTGGGGGGAGTGGTGGAAAACCACGTGAAGGAAACTTCCTTGCCACAGCTAATATTACAGCCCTGTTTTAATAAAAATAAATAGGTTCGTAGTATTGGTTGCAGAAAGCACCTGTGTTACGCAGTACTGCAGGGCAAGATGTCATTTTTATTTTAAGATTTTATGGTAAGGGAGAACATTCAGAGTTGATGTGTAAGCTTTTATGTCCTTGATGCAAGTAACATCAGCCATCAGGGAGGAGGGGGGCAAGAAATTAAGATGAGGTATTTCACCAGATGAAGAATTCTGTGCTTCTGAGACAGCTGTAAGCTCTGCATCCCCTTCGTATTTTCCAAATCCAACCACCTGGGAAAAAAAGTTGCCATATAGAAAAAACTTGGCTCTATGTTTCTATAATATGGATATCTCTCAGTGTTCATCTGCCTGAAAATTAAGTAATATAACCGGATGTGTGGATAATCACCACATGAAAAGAAATGAGGCCACTACTTCTCCTACCATACGGCCTTACTGACATCTCAGACGTTACCAAGTGTGGCGTTTCACCAGCTGGCACCACCGAGCTGACTGGAACTACTCACGTGTACGCTGAGCACTTTCTTCGTGCTGCTTCTGTGCGTTTGGAACCAGGAGACCAGATCTGATTTTGTAACAGACTTCAGAGCTTCTATCTGAAACCCAAAGGAATGAGGTTTTAAAATCAGTAAAAATGGTTTCTCTGCAGGAGCTATCCCCTTAGACCTTTCAAAAGCACCATGTTGACAATCCATGTGGTACTGGCAGCATAAATCCTGCTGTCTGTGCTGTAGCTTGAACTGGGCTGCGTGCAGGGATGCATACCCACCTCTCGGGCAAGCCGGTCAAAGAGATACTGCTGTGTCACAACTTCATTCCAGTTCCTGTCTACTTCCTCTCCAAGATGGGAATCCTCGCATTCTTTAAGCTTTATCAAAGCTGTAACCTATGTGCAGGAGGTGGGGGAAAGAAAAGGTTTAGAGGGCTTAAATATCATCAACCCTCACCTTTACTGAAGTTAAAAGAAAACACAGATTACATTAACAAGGCAGTTCCTTGTTTTCAAACTTCTCAGTATTTCTTTTCAGAGCAACTGCTGAAAGAACAGAGCAAAATCCAGGACTTATGTAAACATGAGTCCTTTGTTTAGAAAACCTCAAATACACTGAGTTGGTGTTAGCAAACCCTCCAGTTCAAGTGTCATTTAGAAGTTAAAGAAAAAGCTTTTTAAGCTTGATCTTTACCTGGGTGCTAAAAGCTTCTTCAGTTAAATGCTTGATTTTCTCTTCAAAGCAAGAAAGGAATTCTTCTATTTTCTTGTCAACCAATTCAGAACTAAACAAGAGTTAAATAATTATATCAGCTCAGGCAGCAAAAAACAAACAAAAAAAAATCAACTATGGAACACACAGGGCTTCCCCCCCTTCCCAGAAGCTCACGCACCCATGAAAACCAACTTTTCTATTTTCCCCTATACTGGAGAATCAGAACAGTGCTCAAATGCAGGGACCTCACTGAGCCAGAAGGCACAGCGGCTGCAATGCAAGGACTGGGCTGCAGTGCAGCCAGCAGCAGCGTGCTCTGTCAGTAACAATTCTTTAGCTGGATGTTGTATAAGTACACCATAAAATACAATGGGGAATGTGGATGTGCATAATTAGTTTGACCATTTGCTATACCCCATGACCAAGCTCAAGCAATTCCATAGCAGTGTGGGACAACATTGATGTGAGAACTTCCTCGCTGCACATTATTCAGCCATTTTCCCTGTTAGAACCTAAACCAGTAACTGTCCCAACAGTTCACAGCACTTACAATAAAAGAATAGCCATTTCTCACCTATCTTCTATAATTTCTTTTTTTTAACAATTTTACTTCACTTTCCTTGAGGAAACTAGAGACCTGTCAGCCTCACCTCTGTACCACAAAAGACCACGTAACAAATCCTACTGGAAGCTATGCTAAGGCACGTGGAAGACAGGGAGATGATACAAGAAAACCAGTATGGCTGTACCAGTGGCAAGTAATTCCTGAACCTAGCAGCCTTCCGTGATGGTGCAAATGCATCAAATGGACAACAGAAGAGCCACTGATGTCATCTATCTGGATTTCAGTAGGGCCTTTGACACAGTCTATCGTAACATCCTTCCCTCTAAACTGTAAAGATAGGGATTTGATGGCTGGACTACTTGATGCATCTGAAGGAGTGTGGTCAGTAGGTCAAGGGAGGTGGTCCTGCTCTTCTATTCTGCACTAGTGAGACCTCACCTCATCCAGATTTGGTGTCCTCAGTGCAGGAAAGATGTGGACCTGTTAGAGTACGTCCAGAGGAGGGCTACAAAAATGATTCAAGGGTGGAATACCTCCCCTGTTACGACAGACTGAGAGAGCAGGGAAAAGAAAGCTCCAGGGAGACCTGATAGTAGCCTTTCAATATCTGAAAAGGGGCATGTAGCATTTGGATCATCCCTTTGTACTCAGCTCTGGCAAGGCTGCACTGTGAGTACTGTGTTCAGTTTGGGGCCCCTCACTACAAGAAAGACACTGAAGTCCCAGAAGGTGTTCAGAGAAGGGCAGTGAAGCTGTGACGAGTCTGCAGCACAAGGCTTATGGGGAGCAGCTGAAGGAGCTGGGGTTGCTCACTCTGGAGAAGAGGAGGCTCAGGGGAGACATTATAGCTCTTTTACAACTAGCTGAAAGGCGGCTGTGATGAGACGAGTGTCAGCCTCTTCTCCCACACAACTAGCTACAGGACTAGAGGGAATGAATTCAGGTTGCATCAGTCAGCATCAAGTTGCATCAGGGAAGGTTAAGGTTAGATTTAGGAAAACTTCCTTCTCCAGAAGAGTGATTAGGCAGGCACTGGGACAGGCTGCCAGGGAGGTGGTTTTGTCACCAACCCTGGATGCGTTCAATAAATATTTAGTTGTTCTACTAAGGAATATGGTTTAGTGGGGGAGTATTGGTGGTAGGTGGACAGTTGGACTGGATGACCTTCGAGGTCTTTTCCAATCTTGGTGATTCTATGATTCTAAGGTATTCACTACCCCAGTGCACACAAGGTCTGCTGCCCGCCTGGGTGAGCATCCCTGTTCTGATACCGCCCCACACACATCCTGCTCTGACAGCTTTCTTACTCAGCCTGCATAATGAGCTTCCACACCTACTTGTACTTGGTTGCCTGCGTTGCTACTGTGACAGAGAAGCCGAGGATCCCTGAAGTATTCCTGCAGGTGGGGTACACGTGGTAGCTTAAAAGGAGCAAAGAGGAAACACAAGTCATTCCACAAGAACAGTTACATCTCCGTTTACAAGCCATGCTACAGGTTGTTACGGTCTTGGTGCTTTACCAGAAAAAAATCTCAAATCCTCAAATCTTTTCTCAGTATTTTCTCATTTTTGGGACATCTTTAAAGGTTGACAGAGCATTTGTGGGAATTAACAAACACAGCAAAAAACCTGTAGCTGTGAAAGGCTTGTGTCAGTTTCAAGGGGCAGACAGAGATGCTATGAAAGCAGCCCTGGGGAAGGGTAAGCTCATGGAGGAAGGGAAGGAATGGCTTCATGTACAATAATTCCATGTTAACACACAGGTAGTAGATGCAGTTCTTAAGAGACTCTAGAGCAATTCAGCTGCAGTTCATGTCAGCGGGTGCTTGCAATTTTAACGTGCTGCAGTACTGTTTCTACTACACAAAATCAGGAATAAGCCATTGTGCAGGGAAGAGTTTCCAAAGATAGAACACCAGGAACCCCCAAAGCAGGAGTGTGTGGAAGCTACGCCCACAGTGAACTCACCCGAGGGTTTGTTTGGTTCGCAGGAAGTCAAAGCAGGGCTCTTCCATGTGCATCTGAAACAAAGCACAGATGTGTCACAGCAGAAGTGGTGCTCCCCTGCAGCCACCACTGAGGCTCAGTACAGAAGTAGGATCACAACACATGAAAACAACTGCTGCCCTTCCAGCTGCACCCAGGGGACAAAGAAGGGTCTCAGTCTTCTGCATTACTAAAGAAAACTCTTCCGCTCTGCCCTTCAGTGCAGCCATTTGGATATCGTGTCCCAAAAACAATTTTACTCAAAATGAGCAACAGATCCATGCTGTGCCCTTTATAAGATATCCACTGTTCCCTTTGTCCATTTAGCCCCATAGCACTATCTGCAAGTAACATTTCATGGGCTATGAGACACGAACTGTAACTTACCACAAGCAGCTCCATAAGGGTATATTCCCTGAGGCTCCTGGCACCTGACTAGAAAAAAAGAAAGTGAAGAATTTAGGGTGATTTCATGGAGTTACATAGATCAAGGTGACAACTTTGGAGCACTTTGTAACATCTGCGTTCAGAAACTGTGACATGAGCACAACTGCTGTACCAGGAGCTACCAGAAGGAAGAAGGCAGTACACCCCGAGCTGACACACTACCTGGTAATACACGGTCACTTCAGAGTTGGCATCACCTCTGTTGAGTGTTTTGACCTTGCAGAGCAGGTGTGCGTTGGGCAGATCCACCACCCGGAACTGCACAGGGCAGGGATGGGCCAGCGGAGCAAACTGGAGCTTCCTGAAGAGAGCACAAGCAGTGAAGTGCCAAACACCCATTCACAGACAAAACAGCCCATACAACACCCAGATCTTCACATGCACAGACTGCCATTATTTTCCCAAAATAATCTTCCCCAAAGCAGAACAAAGTCCCACCTATGCTGCTGTGAGGAATGGGCACCTGCAGGAAGTGCCAGCAGCACAGTGTCCCAGGAGGAGAAAAAGCAAATTCCTGCATTGCTCTCACCCCAGCCCCTTGCTCCAGAAAAGAATCTTAATTTGATTACAGTTACCACATGCATGGTGTAGGAGTCAGATACTCACTGAACAACATAATTCAGGAAATCCTTTGCTTCCTAAGAGAGAAAACATGGTTTTTATTCAGAAGAAAATTGCTAACTGCAATTCTGAGCCAGACACCAAAGTTCACGACATGAGGAAGGTGAACCCACAAGCAAAGAAAAGCTGAGTCCCCTTTGTCCCGTTCACTTTATCCCAAATCCCTCTGGACACCTCTGCACCAGGAGTTTTTAATCCGTGTGAGCAC